GCCAGACTCGGGGGCTCTGCTTGGCCGGCGAGCCGCCCCTCCGCCCCGGCTCCCTCCCGCCAGTCCGTGGAGCGCGCACCGCCTCGCCGCCCTTCCTACCCTCTTCCGTGGGCCTCTCGTCTGCGCTTGGCTCCGGCGACTCCGTTCTGCTAATCCTCTGGTGGTTTTCTGGGTTATTTAGGCAGGTGTAGGTGGAATCTAAGTGATCAGTAGGACGCGCGGTGAGCCTAGCATCCTCCTACGCCGCCATCTTCCTATATATATATATATTTAATGGAGTATTACTCGGCAATCAAAAAGAATGAAATCTTGTCATTTGAACTACATGGATGGAACTGGAGGGTATTATGCTAAGTGAAATTAGTCAGTCAGAGAAAGACAAAAATCATATGACTTCACTCATACGAGGACTTTAAGAGACACAATAGATGAACATAAAGGAAGGGAAATAAAAATAATATAAAAACAGGGAGGGGGACAAAGCAGAAAAGACTCATAAATATGGAGAACAAACTGAGGATTACTGGAGCGGTTGTGGGAGGGGGGATGGGCTAAATAGGTAAGAGGCATTAATGAATCTACTCCTGAAATCATTGTTGCACTATATGCTAACTAATTTAGATGTAAATTTTTTTAAATAAAAAATTAAATTAAAAAAAAGAAAAAGTACATACAATATAATTCTATTCACATAGGTTTAAAATCTGTCAAAAATTGATTCATGTAGTATTTCTCTTTTGGAAGGATAATTACTGGAAAAAATCAGGTTGAGTGTTCTGAGGTACTCATAATATCCTGAGCCCTGGATTTGGTGTTGACTATATGGTTGTGTTTAATTTAGAAAATTCTTTGAGCTGTATAATCATGGCACGCATCAATTTCTGTTTTTATGTTATACTCCAGTAAAAATTCACTAAATAATAATAGAAGAAATCAAGATACTTGTAAACTTTGGAAAGAAATATTGATTAGAAATTATTGAGGATTCTCTTGGATTCTGGCAGGATATGTTTTGAGATAGCTCTCCATCTATCAATTCATCCATGCATCACTCAATCACTCATTTGGTTAGTTTTTATTTTTACAAAAAAGGAGATCCTAAAATATATATTCTACTTGAGTTGTTCATTCCCTATATCATTGAATTTATCAAAGTCTATCTCATTCTTTTTAGTAGTGACACGGTATCACATTGTATGGATATCTCATAACTTAATTTAGCCCTTGTCCTGTTGATGGAACTTTTTGCTATTTCTCTTTTTCTATCACAAAACTGCTATAATAAAATTCTTTTATTTGCAACATTTATGATCTAGGTGAGTCTTTTTTCCCAAAAATTTTATTTAAATTCCAGTTAGTTAATATATAGTGTAATATTAATTCCAGGAGTAGAACTCAGTGATTCATCAGTTACATATTACACCCAGGGCTTATCATAAAAAGTGCCTTCCTTAGTACCCATAGCCTATTGAGTCCATCCTCCACCCACCTCCCCCCATCAACCCTCACTTTTCTCTATTGTTAAGAGTTTCTCATGGTTTACTTCCCTCTCTCTCCTTTTTCACCTTCCCATAAGTTCATCTCTTTTGTTTCCTAAATTCCAGATATGAGTGAAATCATATGATATTTTTCTTTCTCTCACTGACTTATCCTTCCTAATTTTTAAATTAAATTCTATTACTGTATTACTTTTTAAAAAAATATTGATGTCATAAATATGCCAAATGTAGTAAGCAGTACTCAAAACATGTACACAGTTAACATAATAATTAAAAATATGCATAAAAGACAAGAAATCTGACAAAAGCTCCATCACTGTTTAGGGTTATGAACTTAAATGTCCTTTTATTTTCCCCATAAGAGTTTGCAATGTATTAAAATTTCAATCATTTACATAAATATTATATACAAAATAATTAAAGTGAAAGAAACATGTTTTTTTAATATTCAGTGAATATCTACTGATTTCTATTTCATTTTTAGATATAATTTTTATTGAAGAAGGCTACAATGAACAGCAAAACAACTGGCTTATTCTGAGTTTCTACATTGTTCTTCCCTTTATCATAATTTTCACCATTATGATCATGAAACGAAATGAAATGAGAAAATCATGCAACAGACAAAATGCAGAATATGAAGGGTAAATATGACTATGCAAATAATTTATGATCTTAAATTGTACTGCTCATTGACCAGTGAAATAAATCCATTATATAGTATTCTTAAGTTATATTCATTCCTTATATTCATTAGTTATATTCATTTCTAATTATGCATTATTTTTAATCTAATGTAAAAGGCATTTTTATAATTTGTTTTCCAATAGATTGTTTTTAGCATACTGCAGCAAGTCCAAATTTTGGCTGTTCTAGAACTGTTTTCCCAAAGAATATTTACAGTATTTAGGTGTTGTGTTCAAACTTTCATTAATTCCTGAACCTCAAAATATTTCTCTTCAGTAGTTTCAAATCCTGTGAAAAAAATCCCTTCAGAATTCCTTAGAAATTAGATACCATTTCTTATTAATTTCTACATGCTATTCTTATTTTTGTCCTTCTTCTCTTCTGATGAAATTTATCACCAGTAAAACTATCCAGTTTTGGGTTTCTCAAAAATTTTAATTAATTAATGGTTTTTCTAGTGGATGACCTCTCCCTTGATGTCAGTGGTTAATTTAAGTCCCCTACTACAACTGTACCGCTCTATCTCCCTGTAGATCTGTTAATATTTGCTTTCTATATTTAGGTGCATATATCTTGTTTGGATTGACCCCTTTGTCATTACATAACGCCTTTCTTTGTCTTTATTGCAGTCTTTGTTTTAAAGTCTCTTGTACATCCCAGCTTTCTTTCTTTTTTTTTCCTTTTTTGATTTATTTATTTAAATTCAAGTTAGTTAACATACATTATAGTATTGGTTTCAGGAGTAGAACCCAGTGATTTATCACTTAACATGTAACACCCAGTGCTCATCTCCACAACTGCCCTCCTTAATGCTCCTCACCCATTTAGCCCATCCCCCTATCCATCTCGCCTCAAGCAACCCTCAGTTCTCTGTCTTTAAGAGTCTGTTATGGTTTGCCTCCCTTTCTGTATGTGAGATAGGAGATGGTAATTGTGTCTAATATTGTGTTTCTTATATATTTTTTTAATTTTATTAGTGAGGCTGAAAATCTTTATTTTCATCTGGGCTGCACCATTTTTTTCTACATAGAAATTACTTTCATGTCATTTGGCCTCTTTTCCCTATTTGCTTATATTTTATCTTTTACAGGAGTTGTTTATACACGTATATATAGTTTACTAATGCTTTTTTTTTATTTGGACATGAATATCCTCTCTCGATTCTTACTGAGTTTATAGAGTAATTAGAGAATTAGTAGCTTAAAGTATTGTGTATTTCTATCCTCAACATGTATCATAGGAATATATTCAAAAAAATATCAAAAGATTTTTCATCACATAAAAGGCTAATGGTGATGGTACAAATTGCCCTATTGTCTGATCCAATTAGATCCAATTGCCTTTGCAAGAGTAGTCTTTGAGGCTTGTTTCTTTCTGAACCCAAAGGGACGTTACTTAGCTGTCTCTTTTCCTGGTTCTCTCTGTTAAAATTTTAGATGATCTGTAATTTAGCTTGTTCTCAATAGCTTCCAGCCTTATATTAATTGTTTACCAACATAATCTCCATAGTGTATGACAGTGTCCTTAGGGTTGGACTTCTTCACTTTCTGTTCCCAATAAATCACTTACCTTGAGAGAGCTACCAATCCAATAATTTCACTCTTGGAGATTTATATCTGAGAAATGAAAATCATTCTCTCACACAAACTTGAACACAAATGTTCATAACACCATAATACAGAATACCCCCAATCTGGAAATTAAGGTCATTCAATGAATAAATCATTATACAACCTGTGGGAAACCCATACCTCCACACACTATACAGTAATAAAAGAAAACAAACAATTTTGAGAACACTAAAGGGAATTATGCTAAGTGAAACAAAGCCCTTTTCAAAAGGTTAGATACACTATGATTCCAATTATATAAAATTCTTGCCATATTAAAAATGACAGTTTTTGAGGATAGATTAGTAGTTGCCAAGAGATAGGGATAACGGAGAGAGTGGGTAAGTCCGTTAAAGAGTAGCAACAAAAGCTTTTGTTGATGGTACAGTTCTGTATCTTGATGTGGCTATAATTACATGAAACTACACATGTGATCAAGTTGCATAGAACTACCTGGACATAAACATACACACATATGCATGCATGTCTAAATTGTGCAATCTGAGCAATCTCTGTAAGTTGTGTTAATGTAAATTACCTTTTCATATTATAGTATAGTTAGGCAAAATGTTATCATGGGAAATGCTGAGTAAGGGGTACATGAAAGCTTTCTGTACATGTCTTTGCAACTTGCTATGAATATGAAACTACTTAAAAATAGAAGGTCAAAAATTGGATCGTAGACATAAATTTAATAAATTATTCAACTTTATAATGAATACATAAAAAACTCTACAGATGTAGGACAAGATCAAAAATTCATTCATATGAGAACAAATCATGATCCATAAGAAAAATTTGTATGTGATACAAATTAAATGTATTTGATCTGAAAAATATCCTGTTAAAAAGGTAAAAATACAGGCTTCAGTCTGATAGAATGTATTTGCAAACCATATATCCCACAAAGACTTTATATCTATATTTTAAAAGTTCACCAACAGTTGAAAAAATGTGAGGTTAAAAAAAGACAAAGATGTGAGCAGAGAATGGACTAAAGAGTATGTACAGATGGCAAGCAAGCGTATTAAGTTATACTTAACATGATTAGTTACTTGGGTAATTATTAAAACAACAATGAGATAATATCACACTTCCCCCAATAGATTGATTAAGATAAAAATATTAATATAGTAACTACTGATGAGGATACAGAAAATTGGATCACTTGTACATTGCTGGAGGAAATGCAAAACCATATAGCTACTATGACTACAATTTGTCAGCTTTATCATACAACCCAATAATTTCACCCTTGGGTATTTACCCTAGAGAGGACTTTTACATTTATGCAAAATGTATGTGCATTGAACATCCATAGCAATGTTATAATTTTTAGTTATCCAATTGATAAAATTGGGTAAAAATTATCCAATTGATCTTTTGATGGATGCCTGGTTTAACAAACTGTGGAATATTCATACTGAGGAAGCTACTCAGGAATAGCAAGAAATTAATTATTAATACATAATGCAATTTTGATGGATCTAAGGAAATTACATGAGAGAAAAAAACAAAGTTCAAGAGCTACCATACAATACCATTTATATAAGGTACTTGCATTACAGTTATAGTAATGCAGACCAGATTAGTGGTTGCCAGGGATTAGGAATTGGGAGTAACGCAGGTAGGTGTACCAAGTAGGGATTGTATGGCTTTTTGTGGTGATGGAACAATTCTATATGTTGATGTTGGTGTTGGACACACTAATTTATACATGTAATAAGATAGAAAACATTAATACACATATAAACACAAGTCATTGCATGTAAAAAATTATAAAATCTAAATTAACTCTGTGGAATATACCAATGTCGATTTCCTGGCTTTGATAATGTAATATTATCATGCAAGATTTTACCATCAGGAGAAACCAAGTGAAGGATACCTTTTTATCCTTGTGTATACACACATTAAATCTCCCAGTAAAAAAATTTAAACTTCCTATAAATCTATAAGTATTTCAAAAAATTAAGCAAAATTAACATTTGCCCCCCCCAAAAGCCTATTAAATGATTCCTAAGAATGTAGAAAAGAGGATAAAAAGAATGACAACGATAATATATAGCCAATTAAAAAAGCCCTAAAAAACAGAAAATGTGGGGCACCTGGGTGGCACAGTGGTTAAGCTTGGTCCAATTCAATCTTGGCTCAGGTCATGATCTCACTGTTCATGAGTTCAAGTCCCACATTGGGCTCGGTGCTGATGGTGCAGAGCCTGCTTGGGATTCTGTCTGTCCTTCTGTCTGCCCCTCCCCCGCTTGTGCTCTCTATTTCTCTCTCTCTCAAAAATAAATAAGTAAACTAAAAAAATGTTTTAAATAACAGAAAATGTAAAATTGGATAAGAATCAAGATAAATATATGCTCTCAGCAAGAAATCCACATTCAATCTAAAGAAACAAATGTGTTACAAGTAAAATATCTACATGCTAACACTAACCAAAAGGAAGCTAAAGTGGCTATATTTATGTCAGCCAACATAGTCTGAAGAAGAAATATTATAACAAGAGTATAACTTGATCATTATAATCATAATAAAAGAATAGTCTTTAAGAGCACATATAATTCCTTCAGTTCTAACAGACTTTGCTTTATATATTTGAAACTCTATTATGAGCTGCATAAGAGAAAAAGTCACAAATATAATTCGAAGTTTCAACATCTCTCTCTCAATATAAGCAGACTGAAAAACAGTAAGAATACAAAAGAATTGAAAAACACTAATTAGCAGCATGACCTTTTAGAAGACCTCACTACAACATCAGAAATCACATTTGTTTCAAATGCACCTGAAACATTTAACAAGTTAGCCCTAAAGTGTGCCTTGAAAAAGTAACAAATTCAAACAGATTCAGATCATGTGAAATATGTACTCTGAACAAATAGAATTATACAAAAATGTTTGGGAAAGTATGCCACATATTTTTCAGTAATTCACTGATCAAAGAAAAAAAATAAACAGAAAAATTAGAACATATTTGAACACTAATTGAAAATAAAAATACATGATAAAATTTGTCAGATAGATAGATAGCAGTACTTTGGGGAAAAGTTATATTATTAATAGTTTATATCAGAAAGGCAAGAAATTTTAAATCAACTACATTAGCTCCCACACAAAAAAAGTATACAAAGAGGAACAAATTCAACCCCATATAAAAGGGAAATGAAATTATGAAATTTAGAAAACAGCAATAACAAAATAGAAAACAGGGAAACAATGAAACCAGTGAAACAAAAAACTATGTTCTGGGAAAGATCTTTTTGGAAAAGTACTAACTGTGTAGCCACACTGGTAAGAATAAAGAGACAGTGGACAACAACAATACCAGTATCTAGAATGAG